GGAGATTATTTGACATCTGTAAAACAAGTTGGGTATACCGCAGTTTAAAAAGAACGTGTACAAAAATTACAAATAAAAGAGGAATCAAGTACCCTACATTAAATAGCAGGATATTAAAGGTTAAAATCCCACAACTACATGAAAACAAGAGGTGGCAAGTGGATTGCTCTCATATATGTGTATTCATTTTAAATTAAGAGGTAAAATGTTCCTAAATATATTTCAGTTTCATGAAAAAAAATAGTTTCTACTGCATAGTGGTCCTTTATGTCGAAGGGATTCTGCGGTCACTGCTAGTTAACATTCCATGGAGCACTTTTAAATATGATTTGTGACACAATTTGCCGTTTGATTTTCCAAAATTTTACTGGTGTGACATTACTAATCTTACATATGCTTCATGTTGTTTGGGTTTAGCTGTAGAGGTGTGATCTTTTATCTTGAAAAATGATGTACATTAGGGCCCGGTTCACACCTGGGCGTTTTGTAGCGCGTTCCTACGCTCTGCAAAACGCTCAAACACCGAAATCCCATTATTTCCTATGGGTATGGTTCACACCTGGGCGTATTACAGGCCGTATGAACGTGCTACAAAACGTCCTACAGCCAAAGAAGTACAGGAGCTTCTTTGGGGCGTATTTGCCGCACGTATCCATTGGGATACAGCCAGGTAGCCCTCGGAAATGCGCGTTTGTCGTGCGTTTTTTTACCGTGAATCACGGTACAAACGCGCATATTCGAATGATAAACATTCATATACATTTAATTTATAACCGGACTAAAAACAAAAAAATATCAAAAAGAATATTTTTGATAGTTCTAACCATAATACAGAAATGTATACAAAACCAATATTGCATTCTCTTTAAGGCAATGGGGTAGACAGGGCGACAGGACTTGATACTCACTTTAAAAGATTTATTTTACTAAGCAAGGATATGGAAACACACGATAATTATATGTTTACTTTCCATAATTTTGTCCAGTGTTTCCCAACCATCAAGCTACGTGTTCTCTCTGTCTCCTTAAAGAAAGTGAGCTTCTTTTTAAAGGTACATCGACTAATGTATGAGGGAATATGGAATATATAAGTGGTCACTGAGAGCTGGAGTTGAGAAACATGGTTTTAATCAAACTGTTGATTACTGTAAGTTAAGCTCACCATACACATTACAATCCGACTGCACAATCTATCCAAATCTATATAGAACAAGGGCTACCTGGTTGGATAAAAACTGAACTCATAGGCTAGGTCAGGCAGGAGATTATGTTCTACATGTATTAGATTATATACAGAGATTGTACAGTCAATGTGTAACATATATGGTGAGCTTTAAAGCACATCATTACTTTTTGACCTTGCTAATTAATTCTGTATGTGCAACTGTCAACTGCAGTTAAACAAGTTTCTTAATATGACTTCAGTGGAACCAATTGTCCTCTGTATGAGGGTTATACATTTCCGGAATTCTATCTCAGTCTCTGAACACATAAATACACAGGGAGTACACCACCCCATGAGAGTACACCGGCGTATGAAAATGAATCAGTAGTTCAGCATCACTTGTCTTATATTAATAGTTCAATACATTCTGGGGCACTATGATCCTGTAATACTGCAGTTAAATTATATTGTGCAAGTTCAATGTTTTAACAATTATGAGTCGATAAAATATAAACAAGTTTTACTCCTTATATTGCTTTCAAGTCCAAGTCGAAACTCTGTAAATATACATCTGTGCAGGGGGAGGGAAAGGATCCGTGAGGTCCTCTTAAAGAAAGCAAAAGGATTAGTGCACTTTGTTTTAAAGTGCACTTATCCTTTTAAGTAATTCTAGTCTGACCAATCAAGATGGCCAAAGATCCTGAACACAGAAAAAGACCAGGTAAAGCAGCTGGCACCAGCAGGGGGGCAATGTGAGGTGAGGTGAGTTCCGTTCGGTTTTAATGCTCTAAAGTGCCCTAACAATACAAAAGAGAAGTCAACTGGTTGGTAGAAGAGAAATACAGAATGTTTTCTGGCCTGATATTGTATACATGGAACTGCAAATGAGTTACTCTTTGGCTCTGGCACTCAGTAAGCATTATTGAGCATCAGTATATGTACTGTATCCATTGCATGTATGGTATCTGTATGTACTGCATGTATGGTATCTGTATGTACTGTATGCATTGTATCGGTATATATTTATGGATGGCATGTATGGTATCTGTATGTACTGTATCCATTGCATCTGTATAGAGCTGCAGCTAACGATTATTTTCAAAATCGATTAGTTAGCCGATTATTAGGTTCGATTAATCGGTTAATCGGATAAACAATAAAATAAAGTTTAAAAAATGGCTCCAGTGATAGGACTACTAGTTTTATTGTATCTGTATGCATTGTATCTGTATATATTTATGCATTGTATCTGTATGCATTGTATCTGTATATATTTATGCATTGTATCTGTATGCATTGTATCTGTATATATTTATGTACTGCATGTACTGTATCTATCTGTCAAGGTACAAACAGGAGATTTGAAAAGGAGCTCTCCCATTGGCAGTATTCAAGGCAGTTTCCAAACTCCAAACCTTGGAAAGAAGTTCTCCTTCTGAACAAAAGGGAGTTTGAAAAAAAGTTAATAGTTTCTTATACATAAAGGTAGAAACAGAAGTATTGCCAATATAAACTATCACCTTCATAAAGCGTATGCAAAGCCAAAAACATTTGTCCTAATTTTAGAGTGAGGAGGGATTACAATTTTTCAATCTAGGACTCCTTCAGTGAGATTTCCCCTCACTTCCTGACTTGCTGATAATGTTTTACCAGACAAGAAGTGATGGAAAATCTGCAAAAGGGACTGAGACAGAAACAAAAATCTGACAGGGGTTCTAGCCTTCCGCTACTCTACTAAAGAAAAGGATTTTTATATTGGTGTTGCTGTTGGAGTGTTCTCCTCCCTTCCGGGCTGGTAAAATGTTTTAAGCTGCACAGGAAGTGAAGGAAAATCTCTCTGATTGAGCCCCTGATAGCGGGAAAAACCTGACAGGTGTTTTTAATCCTTCTCCACTTTCTCCTCAATCAAGAAGAAATGTTTTGCCTTGAAATGCACTTTGATGCTTCCAGTGGACTGTAATATGGTAACGGGTTTAGATGTTATGCAAATTTAATTTGAAACCAGTTACTTACCCTTTATACATCCTACAATAATGAACCAAAGCACTGGGGAATTAATGAAAACATCAGTAATAGCATTTAGAAAAATTTACATATTTAGTGCAACTTAGAAAAACCCATCCACTGCATCATGTTCAAGTGTGGCGAAAGAAACCAACTAAACATTCTGCTGGTTTTCCTTTAAACTGCTGCAAACACGTACCAAAATTTCAAAGTGCGTTTTCTAGGACTTTGCCAGGATAATACTAGGTGCTTTGTTAGGAATAGAAATCAAGTTTTTCTTTTAAAATCCAGCATTGCGATGATCTTCAGCATGAAAGAGAATTTAACCTAAAGCGACACTGTTGGGGGAAAAAAAAAGACAGACAGTCTCTTACATTTAAAATACATTTATAATACTTACCAGTACTGACTTGATGATTTCCCTCTATAGCCGCCGCTAGTGTTTGCGCTAATCCAACACTTCTAGGTGTGTGGGATACCTGCTCCTCCCTGCTGTGTACTATATATAACTGGGGTGTCCCATAAGAGTCGCAGACAAAGACATACGACACACCCGGAAGTGTAGGATTCTTAAGACTCCAGCAGCAGCTATGACTGTGCAATGAGTAAAACACAATTGGTACTGGTAAGTACCATAAACACGTTTTACAGGGCTATCTTTTTTTTTTCTTAGCAACAGTGTTGCTTTAATAGAAATAATTATGTTCCACCAAGAACTTACATCTTTAGATGCCATGCCTGGCATTTTTAGCCCTCTGGAAATAATATTTTTTTTTTAGGCCAGAGGGCTTTGATTTTTATGCACAGGCCTGGTATTCACTCTGATTTTCCAGGACTAAAGTTAAGCTGGCATACATTAGTAAAATTTAGTTTGAAAAAAAATGTGTTTTCGGAACGTTTATTTGATTTTTTTATAGTATGGGGAAAAAAGTCAAAGGAATAGGATGGAAAATGTTTTTCCAACGAAATTCGAACAGTGAACGTGGTTTTCGTTCTGGAACCTCCATTTATTCCATAATCGAAATGGTAAAAATCAAACAAAATTCCGAATGACATTGGTCAAGTCGCTCATGGCATTATTGAATGTTCTGATATTTTTTATAGGAACGTTCATGAGAAAATTTACCAGCATATGGCTAACTTAACATGAAAGAAATGCCAGGTCAAAGCATGAACTCTTCAGGCCAGAGGGTTGACAATACCGGACCTAACGGCCACATTTGTTGATCTCTGCTCCTCATACACTTGTCTCTAATAGACTTTTGCTATATCCTCTACAGACTCTTTCTTATTCCTGAAATTACAATGCACCATTTCCAGGAGATGCAGATATTGAGCAAATGACAAAGTAAAACCGGCTATATCAAAACGCTCACTTGGTGCACAGTAGTGAGGACAACACAAAGTTCTTACTCTTTGTGACTACAGTGTTTCAGGTTGCTTTGTGCAACCCCTTTAAAGTTCTGTAAAATCTGCAGTAATTGTGTACATAAATCATATAAATTCTGCATGCGGGCTGCACATCATTGTTTCCTTCACTGGCTAGAGTTGCTGATCACCCATCTCAGGCATACAAGTGTCTCTTCGTGTCACAACACAGCTATCAACATCATCCACAAGTGGTTTTTCCAAATTACCGGCTATCTTGCTGTAAAAGGCACATTTGTGGAGTGTAAGGTGCATTTGTATGTACCATAGACAGTTGTAGCTGTAGGAAAAGAGTTCTGTGTCCTTCTAAATGGACCCATGGGTGGGCCAGCCCAACTTCCCCACTTTCAGCCTTCACTGTGTAAACACTATATTTCTGACAATAGTCAATGTCCTCTCCAAACTGACAAGCAAAGATTGGCAGTCTATGTAAAACATCCTCCAATATATATGCTATTGGAATGGGAGTGTCATCAACAGATTTGTCAATATCTTCATATAAAATTAGGCAGCAAGTATCTTTTTACAAGGTCAAATAATGAGTGGGTTTAGTTCATTCCAATGCTCTGACATTTGGCCATGTCTGTACAAACATAGTAAGTCCGTAATTCTCCTTTTCCTTTAACATTGATAAGTCCTCTGCATTCACATGAATATCCCAGTCCTTCTAAAATACGACACGTCTCTTCTGTTACCTGAAAAGAGAGTACACAGGTCAGGAAAAGTGACAGAAACAGAAGTGATTTAAAAGGCCTTAAAGATAATTCATCACTTTGTCCATTCGGAGAAAAGTGACAAGTTCTCTTGTTAGGGCAACCTAACTTACTAATACCTTCACTATACCTCCCCCCACCGCTGCATTCATCTGCAGGAGAAATATCAAGAATACGGGGGAGCATGTGACCATCCTATCTTACTCCCAGGACACTGTATAAGCTCAGACAGTGAGCAATACGTAGCATACAGAGGGTTTAATAAGTGCGTCTGTAGGGGAATATGATGGCAGGGGCCACAATGACCATTAATGGTCTCTAATGACCCTGGACTGGTTTCAAATCAATTATTTGTGGAGGATCCAATACAAAATTATAACCGAAGAAAAGCAAAACAACACCGGCGCCAGCACCCACGACTTGTATGCACACAAACTAATAACACTAGTGATCCATCTCCCACTGGTTAGGGCAACCGACAAACTGAAAAACAGAAAGCAAAAAGGAGCACCTCTATAGTGTAAAACAGTATTTAACCCCTTCATGACTGAGGCCCTTTTTTCAATTTTTGCACCCATGTTATATTTCACATTTTAGGCCTGAAAATGACGTAAAACCCCCCAACATTATATATTTTCAGAATGCCAAGACCCTATAGAATAAAATGGTGGTAGTTGAAAATTTTTATGTTGCGCAATATTAGCGCAACTCCTTATTAAACCCCAAAATTTAGTGACAAATTTAATTAAATGCCCCAAAACACAACAAATTACCCATTTTTTAAATGAAATATAAAAGATGAGGTTACAACGAGTAAAACGATACCCAACATGCCCAGTTTACAGATTGCGTGCGACCGTGAAACGGCGAAAAAATGCAGTACCCCAAAAAGTCAATAAAAGACACTTTAAAAGCCCCCACAGGTCATCAATTTAGAAATACCCCAAAATACTGGCCCTAGGATTATTGCTCTCACTCCGGCGTGCGCGGCGATACCCAACATGTGTAGCGCGTTCGTC